TGTCCTTTCCTCATAGATTGTGAACTTAGCCCCTTCTGTAGGAGGCACTTGGGGGGGGGGCGGGTTCTCCTTTACCTTCCTGCCAATTATTCTCCACTCATGGAGAATACTTTGCTTATGCTTTCTTTTTCTGTAGAGTTAGTGATGTATGGGCTGTGGCTCTAATGATGTCAGACTTTCAAAGTATTTCATGTGCACTCTTACGTCAGTAATCTTTGCAACTGGGACAGGGAAACCAGCCCCCCCTCCAGATTTTGTTGATCTGCAGAGGCTTGCCAGGTCTAGTCAACAGAGCCAGGGGTCTATAAGAGTTGCAGTCCACCAATAACTGAAGTTGGCTTATGTGAGGACAAGTCTGTAACATTGCCCGGTATGCTTATGAGTGACGGTGGGTTTAGATGGAATCGGACCTCCTTGAGGCCAGCGAAGGATGAGTTTGAAAAGGGGAAGGAGAGGTCCTCTATCTCATCTTGGCTCTTCTGCTACCGATGTGCTCCTAGAACCTTGAGTCCTTAAGTGTTTTTGGACTACAACTCCCAGAAGCCTCCGCCACTCGCTGTGCTGGCCAGGATTTCTGAGAGTTGCAGTCCAAGGTCATCTGGGGTTCCGGGACGGGGAACCCCTGCTCTAGAAGAATGGGCTGTCCTTGTTCCTTTGTAAAGGAGAAGTGCCGAAGACGTTGACCTGGGCGAAGGATCTTTGAGATCCTTAGTAAGAGGAGCAGCTGCTTGGGAAGGAGTTGGGTTGGGCGCCAGGACACTTCAGAGGGTTGCAGTGGCAGGAGCAGTTGGTCCAGACAGGGATGCTGCTAAAATGTCCCCTAAATGCACCCAGTGTATGCTTGGCACCCCCCCCCCACCGCCGGTCCCCACCCCTATGCTCAGAGATAATAGTGATCCTGAAGGTGAAGACCTTTCCCTTCAGGCAAACTCTCCCGGCAGCATGACTGCCTGCCTGAGTGGGGTTCTTAAATGGCTGGTGGTGCCTTGTTGCTTTGAATCTGTTTTTTTGGTGTCGGTTTTGTTTACTGTTTCTTAGAGTGGCATTTGTGTGATTTTTTTAAAAAAGTATTTGTACACTTACAATTTTTAGCTTCAGACATTGTCTTCTGAGGTGAGGTCCTTAAAAGGTTGCACCCTTAATGCCCTGGATCCTTTTTAAGGAGAAAGGAGGGATACAGATCTTGCAAATAAGTAATTAAGTAGATAAATAATTTAGAAAGAGGGATCTGACAAAAATAGGTGGTTGTTCATGAAGGATGAAGGATAGGCTAGTGTTAATAATCATCATAACAAAACGTGATTGCCGTGGATTACCTGAAGGAGAACAGCAAGGGGGCCACCTGCATAGCTGGTATGTGGCTTGTCTTTCTCCCTGACAGCCGGCCGGCCGGCCCCCTCCAGGGGTCAGAGAGAGTGGCTGGAGCTGGCAGGGCTGTGGCCAGCCAGCCAGAGGTCAGCCCGCAAGCGTGTGGGTGAGGCGAGAGGGGCCGCCCAGCTCTGTGTCTGTTCAGAATTGCCACCTCCTCGGGTGAAGGAGGCAAGCCGGCCTGCCCACCTTGCTGCTTCTTGGACTGGGTGCCCCTTGCCGGCTGACTCCACGACGGGATTGCGCTGGCTGGAGTCTGGGATTCCTCGTGGGTGGGACGCACAGCATGCAGCGCACGCCGGCTGCCTTGTGCAAGACCTTGTGAATTCTTTAAAAATAACTCGGGTTTCATGCTTCTGTAATGATTGCACAGGACCTGATCCGGGAGGGAAGCCAAAGAGCTGCAAAATGACTTGACCTTCTTCTGCTTCTGGCTCCATCTGGGGAATCTGCATTGTCCTGCCACACTTTCCCAAAATCACATTCTTGCTGAGTGTGCAGATCAAGCACCTTCATTTAGGTTCCTGCTGCCCATGCTGTATGTATCAAGAATGAGGTTTGCGGGGAGCAGCAATGGAAATTGGCTTGACCCCTTATTTGAGCCATGGAGCGCCGCTGGCCATTCTCATAACCGTGGTCTGGAAGGGCAAGCGAACAGGCGGGAAAGAGCAGGCGGCCACCTCCCTGTCTCTGGAGGCTTCGAAGCAAGCTTTAGAATGGGTGGCCCTGAATTCCTTTGTGGCTACAGAAAAGGAAAGTGTAAGGAAGGACAGGCCAAGTGTACTCATCATTGCAAGGGGTCCCTCCAGGCAGATCCATGGGGCAAGACGTTTGGGATTGGGGGAGAGAAGAGTTGAGTGACTGAGGAAGCCAGGAGACTGGAGTGGGTTTGCTCCTCGGAGCTGCTGGATCTGAGGCCAGGGCATCTTGCTGGGATGTGCAGCCTTGGGCTGGCAGAGATTGCGGATGCGTTTTGGGAACTGCCTCCTTCCCTGTTTCAAGCCAAGCCAACAAGAGAGGCAACTGGAGGTTTTTTTCCCCCCAAGTATAAAGGAGCAGGAGCTCAGAAGGCCTCCTGGTTCTGGTTGATTGTGCACCTTGACCACGTAGAGGTGGACTGGCTTGTGCAAGGAAGCTGGCTGAGTTTTTCTGCCAAGGTTTCTGCGGGGTCCTCCTGACTGGCATAGCGATTGATCTGCAAACCAGGGAGTGGGTGCCCTTTGTGCCTGCTGGCCAACAAACCCAGTGGCCCGCCGGGGCAAAACTGCTTCCTCTCTGCTTCACCAACAGGGCAGGGGAAGAACACCCCTGACCTGACCTGACCTGGCAGGGTGATGGTTGTCAGGAATGCAGCCGGGGGTGTGTGAACATTGGGCTGGTATTCGGGAGATCTGGGTTCAGCGCCCCACTCAGGGATGCTCTTACAACCAGCCCTGTTTTCCCAGCCTGTGGTGAGAATCTCAGGGGCTGGAGGAGGGTTTTGAGGAGGCTGTTGGAAGACAGGCAGGAGGTATAACTGTGTCAGCCGCGACATCAGCAGTGATGAAGATCACAAGGCTTGCAGGCGGATCCTGCACGTGAAACACTTTGAACATGACAGGCAAACGTTATGTGCCAATACTGGGTCCTCCTCTGTACGATAACGTAATGAGTGGACAGAATTTTCTCCCATAAGACACACCAAGTGTGTTAGCTTCTGAAAGGTGGTTTGATCTTTCTTCCAGCTCTTGGTGCTGGCAGCTCTCGTCGTTAACTGGAGCTTCCACCGAGAGGAGCAGTATGCCATTGCACCACACTCTTGACGGCACCAGCGCGCCAGGCGACTGCTGTCATTGCCCTGCTAGAAACTCTGGTTGCTATGAGTTTGCTTCCCCCCCCCTCAATCCCCCATTAGCAGGGGCCTCTAGAAGTCCAATCTCTAGGGGGTTTCTCATGGGCACAGGTCAAAGTTCAACCATGTGCGATGACGATACAGGGTTGAAGAAGGAGCTGGATCTTGGTGTCCCAAGGAAGTTGACCAGGATGGCCCAGAGGCCTGCTCAGAAAGGTTGAGCGTTTTGGGAGGTGGTGGTGTGTAACTTGGAGAAGAAAAGGCTGATAGGTGGGATGATGGCCATCTCCAGGTATCTGGAGGGCTGTCGTGTGAGAAAAGAGGACCAAGAATAATAAATGTTGGAATAAATCAGTGGAACTAGCAGTGAGTGGAATCGTTGAATACAGAATCCCTAAGAAATGCCATGCTGAGCACCAGGTCTTTCGCAGGAGGTGGTGCGCGCTTGTGTTAGTCATGGAGGTGGGGATGAGAATCTGGGCTTTGAGTAGCCCGTCCTGGCCATCCCCTGCCAAATGCCAGAACATCTCAGCCTTGCGCCTTGGCCAACGGGGTTTTTCAAAACGGTTGGGCCCTTTTTGACGGGTGAGAACCCTGCCTATGTTGCCGTCCTGGTCCAGAGGGCGTAGGAAGAGCAATGGGCTTCTAGCGCGTGGCGGTTCCCACCCGTTTAGTGGGGGCGGGCAAGGAAAGCCAGCTCAGGACGGGGGGGGGCGGGTGCCCCAGGAGTCGTACCAGCTGGGACAGCGCGCCTGTCCTGACAACTCTCCTTGACTTGTACATTACGCAGGGAATTAAAAGAGTCGTTGACCGAAAAGGACCGCGATGCGCGCACATCCTTGGAGGGATAACAGGGCGACTCTTTGTCCCAGTGAAAAACCGCTCCTGTTTGGATCCAGTGGGGACATGCGCCGGGCCCACATCCTGGCTGACGCGGGCTTTTCCTTGCTCTAGAGAGGCTTGCTTTGAGTCTTCCCGCCAAACGCCTCAGCCAAGGAGCCTTGAGTCACGTGGCGCCTCGTGAAATACGCGGCCAGGGAGGGGGGACCACCGTGGCCAGGCCCTGCCACGGGAGGGCTTCCCTGTGGCCTCAGAAGGAGCCAGGTCATCATGGAGGGGCTGGCGTTTTCATGTTCCCTCTTGATGTTGTCCCGGGCGTACCTTCGAAGGGCGCTTCGCAGAGGGAGGCGATGCTCTGATTGCCGAAAACAGTAGTGCAGCCAGCGAGCGAGCGAGAGAGAGAAAGAGAAGGAAGGAAGGAAGGGATGTTATCGGCAGCCACCGCCAGGTTGCTGCGCTTGTGTTGCTGTCAGCGTAACTCTTTCTTTGAACGGAACATTGTGGTGGGTCATCTGAGGTAGTCCTGTAGACCCCCCCACCGCAGGGAAAAACACCACCACCTTTGCAGACCCCTGAACTGGCGTACGTGTATCTTGTGTGTGTGGTTGCTGAGAAACAGATTCTTAATTTTTTTTTTTAAAAAATCATGTCTTATTTTGGCAATTTCTGAAGACCTTCGGGGAGGCGAAGGCCTTCCTCCTCTGAGCCTGCTTGCAGGGGGGGGGCATCCTGTCCCCCCGCATCCCGACCCAGTTCACTGCTTCCCCCAGAGTCTTCTTGGCTCTTGAGGCGGCTGCTGCTGCTGCTGCTGCTGCAGCCCCATCGTCTCTGGCTCCCCATGCGCTGCTACTGCTGCTGCTGCTGCTGCGGCCATCCTGGGAATGTACGTGCCGTGCGCGGGAGGGATAATGGCCCCCACAGCTGTTCGGAGAGGGGAGGGGGAGGTCTGTGTCGGCTGAGTAACTAGATCAGTGTTACCTCCTCGGCGACCAGCCCCGTCGGTGGTGGTGGTGGTGGTGGTTATGGTGCCGCACGGTTTCCTCCTGATTCCTCCATGCTTCCTTTTCCTGGTGCCTCTCGGTATCTGGCTGTCTCTTGGCAGACTCTGCAACCGTAAGTGGCTTCCTGGCGAGGGTTTCTGTATCTCTTCCTCCCCCCCCGCCTTCCCCTTTCCCTCTAGCCTTTTCCCCAAGATGTCTGTCTGTCTGACTGCATGTCTGCCTCCCTCCTTCCCTCCCTCCCTCCCTCCCCCTTTGTGTTGCTGGAGAAGCCGTGTACGTTCGGGGTCCGGCCTTTGGACCAATGCAGCTCTTTTGTGCCGACAGGAGTGGCGTCTGGGCTGCGTCTGGGGAGTTCACGGAGCTGGTGTGGGAGGCAGTGGCCTGAACGCAAGCTCTCTCCCTTTCCCCCCTTTTTTAAAAAGGGGAATTTGTAGCAGCGCTGGCCCTGAACGGGAGGAGAAAATGGGGGCCCTTGCAGGGGGAGAGAGGAGGCCGAGGCCGCTGCTCTGGAAGCCCAGGGAAAGGTGGCCCGTTGGGGTTTCTCCAAGCAGCCCTCGGCACGGGTGGTGGAAGCAGGAAGAGCTGCAGGGCTGAAGCCCAAAGAGCGAATTGTGCTAAAACGAGAGAGAGAGAGAGAGAGAGAGCTTTTTTTGTGGGTGGGAAGGTTCCTCTGCCGTTCTGTGATTCCTTCTCTTTCTTTCGAAGTCTTGCAGGGTTCTCTTGTGATTACCTTAAGCCACAAACGGCTGCTAACTTTTAAAAGCCTCCGAGTTGAATTTGGAACTTGTGCCAAAATCCTAGAGACAATTTTTCTTTTAGTCCTGCCGCTCTTCAATTCTTCTTTTAAAAAAAAAAAAATGAGAGGATTGTATAGTTCTAATGATGACGGGGAAAGAATGTCATTCCCTCTTGTAAATTTATTTTCTCCTCCTTCACGTAGGAAGCCTAGAGATAGGGGAGGAAGGCGTTTTATCCCAAAACTGGAGGATGGTGTTTGCCTGCGAGTGATCCCATTCCCTGTGATCATGGGGAGGGTGTAGGGACGTTGATCCTCGAGGAGTCTTGCTCTGGGATCCACGTGCCGGTGGATCTTTTGTGTGTGGAGACAGCGAGGAGGAAGCTAGAGGATTTGTGCTGATCATGGAGTTTTCTGCCAGGGGGTGGGCCGGGCAGGAGGCAGGAGAAGGCACAAAAGGCTGGGCTGGGCCCTGCTGTGGCTGCCGCCTCCTCCTCCTCCTCCTCTTCCACCGCCTTTGCTGGGAGGGAACAAAGAAGCTGATCACGGATGTCTAGGGCTGGGCTGAAAGAGACGGACGGATTTGATAGGCACACACGGTTCAAAATAAAATAAAGATCAGCCGTGACCACAAAGGGATGGCCAGCCTGGGTGACCGTGCCGTTTTTGGGACACAGAAGCTGCCCCGAGCTCACTTTTGTGGCTGGACATGTCTCCAGTTTGCACGTTTTGATGTTGGCTGGGTGCCTCGCTCATGAAGAAACAAAACAAAAGGCTAAGCATCCCCCCCCAAAAAATACATCAGCTGAAGAATTTAGTTTTCCTAACCGGTGGTTTTCCCAGATGTGCCTCTTTGGAGGCTCCCACTCCCAGAAGAGAAAACCCTAGCCTGAAAGTGAGACGGGGGTTCAAAACTGCAAGTTTCCTGGGATGGGCGGGTTGGTGGAGGGGGGTTACCTGGGCGCAAGGGGGCTGCCCTGTTCCTTTCTGTGCTGGGGAAGGGGGGGGCTTCCTCCGCTCAGGGGCAAAGTCCAGGTTTCCTCACCTTGGGATCCCCAGTGACACCAATGTGCTCATGAGTCATGCCGGACGGACGGCCGTGGTGGATTTTAAAGGCCCCCCTTCCGGATGGATTTGAGAACCACCACCCCCCCACCACCCCGCTCTTTCTGGGAGCTCCTGGCTGAGTTTGGAAGAGGTGCATTTGGGGGGTGAGCAGGGGGCCGGGTTGTCTTGCTGCAGAGATTCACAACGTGGGTCTGGTTCCTGACGGAAGCGGAAAGGTGTGGGAAGTTGACTCTTCTCTCTGACATCACATCAAGCTTGGAGGGTTTGGGGTCCCCCCCCCCGAAAGGACAGCTCAGGCTCTCCCACCGCCCGGGTTCCCTGCTCAGCCAGAAGCGTTCTGGAGCACTGAAGGGCGAGCGAAATTGCAAACACCCCCCTGGGTCTCCAGTATCGCCCAACCTCTGCCGGTTCAGTTTAGTTTTGTTCCCGGGATTCGGCCATTGTGGGACCGGCTCCCGGGATCTTCACAGAGCCTGTGAGTGGGAACTTTGAAGCCCTGGTTGGAGAAGGTCTGCGGCTGCCTGTCCTCCGTGGTTCCTCACGTGGTGTCACATGGCAGCATCACCCAGAAAGACAGCTTGGGATGTGCCCTGAGGAGAGGGAGCTGCACCGGATCTCCCCCCCACACACACACACACCAATAAGATCCAAATGCACAGCCTGGTGGGGGAGTGGAAATCCCTGAACACCCACCCCGTTTTTTATTTTGTGGCACAGATAGCAAACATTTCTATGGAAAAGCATAGAAGCCCCGTAGGATGGGATTTCAGGCCTACCCCATGGCAGACGAGCGGATGCTAGAAAGTTTGTGTTAGGCATCTCTCTCTCTCTCGCTCTCTTTTCGTTTTTTAAAGGGGCAGAAGGGTTGATGGCCTATCAGTTTTTGGTCTCTGGCAGAAAATTTATGAAATATCGGGGGGGGGCTGCCTCTGGTCTCTGTTTCAGAAGACGGGGTGTCAAACGTTTTGTGAAAGGCCACTCTCCACCGTCCTGAAGTTCAAAAGGACAGCTTAGGGAGGGAGTTACAATAAATGAAAACCAAAGAGTTTTTTTCTGGGTGTGTGTTTCTGTATTCTGTTCAAGCAGTGTAGAAGTCCCAGGAGGTGCAGCCAGACAGGGCAGGTGATACTGTTGCAAATTTTTATCTATTTGTTTGTTTATTTAATTTGTGTTTCACCCCCTCTGGCTACCAAGGCCACTCTGGGCGGTTATAGCAAAATAGAAAACAATAACACATTAAATAATAACCACAAAAATATAGTAACAATGTAAAAAAAATCAAATAAATGTGTCAATGAGTTACACTGAAAAAGACAACATAAAAACAATTGAGGCAAAAGGAGAACTTGGAGGGTGACTTGCTGTTTTTCAGTCCGGCACCAAATCTCCCCCCCCCCGCCTGCCCCCGCTGTGCTCGAAATAGGACACACAAAATCTGCCAAATTCTTTCAAAATTCTTGTCTCTGGGATGGAGAACTATTGAACACAGAAGCAGTCTTGCAGTGTTTCACATCGGCCTTCTGTGCTGTCATTTGAGGTATTGTGGCTCTAATAGAGTTTTCAGGATGAGATACTTAAAGAGTGTTTTTACCAGTTCCACTCCCCCAATGGCCAAGCGGGGATTCGAACTCAGATCTCTTGGTTTCTGAGTCTGTCACTATGTCCACCTCACTACTTTGGGTACCTTATGAGATCAGTGTCCCGCCCCAAAAGCACTGGTTATTGTGACTGGAAGCAGCAGCTGTAAAGATAACAAAACAAATGGCATTCCCATTGTCCCTGTAGTTCTGAACCACAGATAACACTTAGGGCCAGACTGAGTTTGCTTTGGGGGGAGCCCCATTCAATCTAAACAGCTCCTAGATCATTCTAACCAGCCTGATTCAATTCAGTATTTGGCAGAATCGGAATCATAACTCCTTGTTTTAGTGTGTGTGTACACACACACACACACACACACCAGTGCTCAGCTGTGCATCGCTTGTGATTGCTCCCTGCCGCCGTGTTCCAGTGCTAGCGGTCTTTCTTTGATGTGTCGCCCCATTTCTGGTGTGCTGTCCCTTGGGAGACCCGACGGGCACCCACATTGCCTTTCTTTCAACACCTTGCCGTTTGCCTCTGGGGATGGACTAGCTCTTCAACCTTTCAGTCATTTTTTTTTTTTTTGTCTTAACTATTAAGCCATTTTAAAGTGCTCCGGATTGTTTTGAAATAGTGAAATTGCATTAGTCTCTCTTAATGCCATTTTATTGGTTACACCCTAACCTGAGTTACATGCATGTCTCACCGGTTAGAAATATTACAAATGTAGGGACAGATGATACCTTTATTGGCCTATTACTAATCATAATCATAACCATAAAAACACCAGCAAGCTTTCGATGATAATTCATCTCCTTCAGGCTGTGCACCAAGTTCTGGTAGGTAGTTCCAAAATTAAATGCTTTTATTAACGTCCTGAAGTCTCAGGCATGGCAGATGGTTCAGGTGACATATCTTGTGGTAACTGAACAGACTGTTGCCCCTGCAGCCTGTGTTGTTAGGGGGATTTATTCATTTTTTAAAGCTGTCTGTGCCTGTTGTAGTCTAGTCCCTGCCTTGTACGTTTTCTATGGAGTTTATCCCGTTGGAAGGCAGTTATTCAAAGAAGTGAACACAAAACACACGCATGCATGAAATAAGCATAGCTGCAACACTCAGTGCACAACCGTTTTTTAGTTTTTTACTGCCTAATTGCAGCAGAGGACTCTTTTAATTCCCCACACATTGCTTTGTTTGGCTTTTTTTTTTAGCTGTAGCAGCACACATACTTCATTAGGGACTCTGCTCTGTCTTGATAACAAGCTTTCCAACCATTGTCTTGTTGTAGTTTGAGTGGGAAATATTGTTTTATTCTAATTTTAGGAGGGTTTCCCCTGGGCACCCTCAGGAGCCTTTGTATTGTGGTTCCTTTCTAGGGGCGAGACGCTCTCCTTTCTGGCACCAAAGTCCCTTTCTCTTCCTGCTGGTTTGTGAAAACAGTTAGCTAGTCTCTCTCTCTCTCTCTCTCCTTTGCTTGCTTCCACACCCAAAAACAGTGGTTCTCCCTGGTCCATAAAAAGTGCAAGCCTCCTGCTTGTTGCTGGCTTTGCCCTTGGTTCTCCCCCCCCCTTTCTTGGGTGTTCTGGCTCCCCCCCCCCGGCAGCCCTGCGTTTCCACCATGGGTCGCTTGGCAAAGTCACAGGTGGGCCACTGGTAGGGAATTCATAGGGAGAAGCAGTGAGCCCCCTTCCCCTTCTTCTGGAGGACCTCATCCTGCAACATTCGGAACCCCACCCACCCCTGCCAATCCTCTCTGCAGGCTAGCTTTGCAGGTAAAACAAAACAGCACCCCTCTTGGGTCAAGGCGGCGTTTTCGGGCTCTCACAACAGTTTCCTCCGGAGTTTCCCCTTTTCGGTGGCCTGTCCACAAAGTTTTGGCCAAGCAGTCCCTGTGTTCAGAAATCTCCTTGTGGATGAACCAAGGATGAGGAAGTCCATCTGTTTGGGCGATGCCTGTGGAGGCACCTTGGGGCAGCCAAAGCGTCTTGGGACAGCATCCTTGCGGTGGGTGGCAAGACACCCATTTCCATCTGATCCTCCCGGAAAGAAGCTTCAAAGGACAGACTAAAGGGCAAGCTGGCTCCTTGCCAGGATTTAGGACCGAAGAACGGGTAATGACTGAAGCCGGAAAACAGAGCGGAGGGATGGGACCATTTCTTGATTCCTACTTTACTCTGGAAAGTTCATGTTCTCTGGGAGCACTTTTTCCCATGCTGTATATATTTCCCCATATGGGGAAATATATATAGTATGGGGGGGGGAAGTAGGAATATATATTGTTGCTTTGTTGGGAGGGATATTGATACTATAAAAATGGGACATAAATTTACATATTGGTCAAATGAAAAGGAGCAACAGCAAGAGCCAGCCCGGCCCCAACGTGTCCGTGTGTGTGTGTGTGTGTGTGTGTCGGGGTTCAGGTGCGTGGGTGTCTTTTTGTGCGTATCTGGATGACATTTCTTGCCAAGGGAGTGATGCCGTGATTCAGAGCCCCCAGGCAGTCCCACGGCTGTGATTATTTACAGTGTCGATGAACAGAAGTGGAGCATCTGGTTGCTCTCTTTCTGTGGATTCTGGTGCCACGAGATACGGGAGGGTGGTCTGGGAGCAGGCTTGGCTTTGCAGTGGCTTTGCCCCATCCTCCCAGGAATGCATCCGGGAGAGAAAACCTCCCCTCCCTTGGCGTGAAATGCGGGACCTGAGCTGACCCTCCCCCTCCTCCCCCTTACGTGGCCTTTGGAGTATGAGTAGAGATCCGTCCGGCCTCTTGGCTTGGGCTTGACCGCCTCGTGCTGGACCCACGGGCCTTAGAAAGTCTTCAGTCCTTCTAAGAGCGTTTGGCTGGGCTCCCCGTTTGTGCTTCTCTCCGACACCGAAGCCCCTGAGCCTGACCGTTGTGCCCTGTGCCGATCAGCCCCAAGTGAGGTCCCCTCTGTATATCCTTACGAGGGCATCCATTGACGGGCTGTCCTCTGCCAATATCCACCCACAGGACTGTGCACTGTCCGTCTCCCCCCCCCCCCTCACGTTCCTGCCAAGGTGAGGCTGGTCCTCACTGCCAGAGGAGGAGGAGGAGAAGGAGGTGGGAGGGAGGGAGGGAGGGGGCAGCTGCACTGGAAGCAGTGGCTTGCGTCTGGTCCAAGTGGGTCAGGGTCAGGGAGGCAGTCGCTGCCTGGCCCTCCCCCCCCCATGGCTGCTCCACATTCCTGGCCCACACAGACTGGCTTGTCTGGGCCTGATGGGGGCGACCTGTCCACAAATGGAATAGGGAGGAGGGAGGGGTCGGGGCCTGTCCTGCAAACAAAAACAGACCAACGTCATCGGCAATCCCCTTCCCCCAGCGTGCGTGACAGGGGCGTCTCCATGTTTTCAGTTACCTCCCCTGTTATGGCCAAGGTGGAAGTGCTTAGAGGTGAAGCTTTCATCCTACAGATGCCCTTTTGCCCTCCCAGATGTTTTTCTTGTCAGATGTAACGTGGTGGTGGCTGGCCCATTGTTCGTTTTGGTTCGAGACACTCTCGGGCATGTTAAGCCCACACCAGTAATCATCAACATCTGGACGACATCTGGGCACAGTGTGAAGACCTTGCCTTTCCCAAGCTTTGTCCTCGGGGAGATTGTAGGATTGTAGAGTTGCAATGGATTGCCGGGGTGTTTTAGGCCAGCCCTCTGACTCTGCGGGAATCCACCACTTTGAAATATCTTCAGGAGGTATATTTGAAAACACCCGGTGAGGGTGACGCCACCAGCTTCTCAGGCAGCCTGTCCCCTGGCTTCCTGGCTTCTGCCCCCTGTGACGTTTCTCCTAATGTTTGTTTGAAAACTCAGTTCTTGTTAATGGTGACAGAGGAAAACGTGAAGCCTGTCTTGGCGTGCAGAGCTGTCTGAGTGGGAGAGAAGTGGACTCCTTTGGCCACCAGTCCCCTGGGGTGAGGAAGGGAAGAATTCCATTTGCCCAGTCCAGAAAGGCCCGTGCCCAAGGGATAATAAGGGGGGGGGCTGTTTGGTTTTGCTTCCAGTTGTGAGCATTTTAACGGTCCTAACAGTATCCTGTCCTATCTGCTAATAGGGAGGAATTTTCAAAAGCAAGTCTATTTAAGGAAACAAATACATGTTAAAGAATGTGCCATATGGATAGCAGTGGATTTGCCCAGAACCATAAACTGGGGGTGGGGAGCAGGAGAGAGAGAGAGAGAGAGAGAGACTCCTAACACAGCTCAAAGTTATGGGCTGTTTGCTTAAAGCAGTGGTTCTTAACCTTTGTTACTCGGATGCTTTTGAACTGCAACTCCCAGAAACCCCAGTCAGGACAGCTGGTGGTGAAGGCTTCTGGGAGTTGCAGTCCAAAACTCCTGAGTAACCCAAGGTTAAGAACCAGTGGCTTAAAGCACCACCTTCATCCTCCTCAGGTCTAATTTGAAGGAAGGGGACCCAGAAGTGGGCATGTCCTCTTGCTATCCGCCGGCCATCATGAAGCAGGAGTTTTGGGCCTGTGATGATAAGCGTGTCCACTCACCAGCATTTGGGATCCCTGTGCCAGATCCTTTGGTGCTAACGTGCAGGAAGAGCTCGAGGCTGCATCTTGCACCTGGGAAAAGAGAAGGGCCAAAGGTGTAGGCGAAGATTCCTCAGGGGAGGATTTTGGGGGGGGCTTCTTGGGGTTCTCCTTCTGCCCCGGACAAACTTTGGGGGTCCAGGTTTCATTCCCATCCTCATAGTAGCAGGCAGGAAGTGGGTCCCTCTAAGCAAGCCCTCCAAGTTGGGGGTGGCCACGCTGCCATCCCTCCCACTGTGTGTCTCGGGGTGTCTTGTCGTTCTGGCCGAGGGTGGCATTTTCTCTTGACTGAGTGGGCCTTCGGGGATAACCCTGCGTGAATTGCCCACCCAGAGATGTTTCTGGGCCCTCCCAGGCCCTAAGATGCAAAGCGGGTCTCTTTTCTAGAAACTCCACCCACCCAGCCCAGGAGAGGAACTCATTCTTTCTGTTTCCTTTTTCTCTTTTCAGGCTGGTTTGGAGGGCAGTTCAGTTGATGGACCCAAAACAGGCCAAATGGAAGGAGGGCCATTTAGCCACCCGGAAGAAAGAAGGCTGAAGGAGGGCCACGTGTCCGGTTGGGCCAATGGAGGGGTTGTGCCCATGGAGGCCAGCACGTGGCCCGGCAGCCCACGCACCGAGCCGGATCCCCGTTGGGAGAGGATGGCTGATGCCCCCAGCCAAGGAGGATCCTCTGCCAACGCCAACCTGGAGGACGCTCAGAACCTGGTGGCTTTCTCGGCAGCGGCCGAGGCCGCCCTGTCCTCGCGCGGGCGGGGCCCTCTGGCCTCCCCTTCCTTGCTGAGCATGCAGCTGTACGAACGGTTCAATGCAGAGATGAACCAGGGCGGGGCAGGCGAGGAAGCCTCCGGCTCTCCTCCCAGTAGCTGCCTCACCTTTGCCGACCTGAAAGCTCTGAAGGCCGCCCTGGCCTTGGCGAAGGACGGCCGGAAGCCCCCCAACTGCAACTGTGATGGGCCCGAGTGCCCGGATTACCTGGAATGGCTGGAGAAGAAGATCAGGTCGGTCACGGGTGGGGAGGGCCAGAGCGGCAGCCCGGGCCCCCGCCTCCAGGCCCCGCCAGCCCCCTCGGACAATGGTGCTAATCATCAGCAGGTGCCTGCTGTGGACGAGAAGCCCCCGCCGTGCCCCTCGGAGGCCCTCCCCTTTTCCCAAAGTGCACTGAACATTGCAAAGGAGAAGAACATCAGCCTCCAGACGGCCATCGCCATTGAAGCCCTGACGCAGCTCTCCTCGGTGCTTCCCGAGCCAGCCCTGGAGGCGCCGCCCTCCCCTGTCCGCAGCCCCCTGCAAGCCATGGCTTTTGCCTCCAAGGCCCAACTGGCCCAGCCTTCCCTCTTCCCGCCAGACAACCCCGCCAGTTCGGTGCTAGCCGTCTCGAGGGCTGAGCTCTACCAGGGCCAGGCCTCGAAAGAAGGGTACATGGGCCACAATCGCCACCTGGCCCCAGTTTCGTCAGCCCCCTCCTCCTGGCAGCAGGAAGGGCAACTTGCTCAGGATCTGGCCTCCTCCTCCTCCTCCTCCTCCTCCTCCTGTTGCCTTGACCACCACGGCGGCTGCCTGGAGCCTTCGGCCCTCTTCCCCGGCGCCAGCTCCACCCCGCAAAAGGCTGGCTTCCCCGAGCAGTGGAGCGAAGAGGCTAGGTTGCAAAACAGCCCGTGGGGGCTGAGCGCCAGCACCCCACCATCCTCGTTGGTCAGTGATCCCATGGCCGAGCTGGAGCAGCTGCTGGGCAGTGCCACGGATTGCATCAAGTCCGTGTTCAAGCGGCCGGAGGCAATGCCGGGCAAAGCGAGGGTAGTCAAGCCGAAGCAGGAGCCGGCGGCCCAGAAGGAGGAGGCTCTGGGTCCTCGCAAAGCTGCCGCCTCCAGCCCCCAGTTGTCGCAGCTCTTGCAAGAGACCAGCGCCCACCAGAAGGCCCAAAGGGCTCTGCAGCAACACCTCCACCACAAGCGGAGCCTCTTCCTGGACCAGAACGTCCCTCGGGGGGGAGGAGGGGCCACTCCCGAGCCGCTGCCCAGCTGGTGGCCTCCCAGCGCGCCCGCCCAGCCGCCCCCCAAGCCGCCTGAGAAGCCCATCAAGGAGAGGAGGAGGAAGGTCCAGTCAGATAAGAACGGGGCCGTCAAGCCACTCCGGAAGCAAGCCCAGATCAAGAAGCCGAAGCAGAAGGATGCTCAGCCCCTCTTCCTGCCCGCGAGACAGATCAGCTTGGAGGGCTTCCGCTCCGCCATCACCCCGGAGCGCCCGAGCAGAGAGGTGCTCTCGGAGCAGCTCCTCGCCAGCAGCCCGGCCAAGCTCTGGCCTCTTCTTCTGCCGGCGCCCCGCCCTGCCGAGCCGTCTCCGTTGCAGAAGCTACTTGAAACCAGAATCCTGGCCCCCAACACTCAGGAAACCTGCCAGCCCCGCCAGGAGGAAAGCCGTGGCTCCTACCCGGAGAATTCTGTGTGCAAGCCTGCTTCTGAGCTGAGCCCCCCGGTGTCTACCTTTGCCCCCTCCTCCACCGCTGCTGCCGCCTGCAGCAGCCACGGGCACCAGGAAGCCTTCTGCAGGTTGACGGACTCGACGGACCAGCCTCTTGGTGCCCAGAATCCCATCCCGGTGGATGACAAGCTGGAGGAACTGATCAAGCAGTTCGAGGCGGAGTTTGGAGACCATTTCAGCTTTCCGAATTCTGAGCTTCCGGCTTCCCTGCTTCCCCCGGAGGGGGCCCTGCCTGCCCAGCCCTCCTCGCCTGCCCAGCCAGAGCTGTCTTCTCTGAGCCGCTCTCCTGAGCTGCCAGGGTGCTCGGAGGCAGCCGCCCAGCCGCCGGCCACCGGGGATCTCACGCCTCCGGCGGGTGCGCCCAACCTGGGCCCTAAACCTTTCCCCCTCCAACCGGGGGCCAGCCAGCCTTTTGAAAACCCTTTTGCAGCTCGGTCCCCCAAGCAGATAAAAATCGAATCTTCTGGTGCTATCACGGTGGTTTCCACCACGTGCTTTTACTCTGATGAAAACCAAAACACCGATACGGCTTCCGCGGAAGGGACTCCAACCAAGGATCAAGTGCCACTTACGCCTACTCTCAGTGGATTTTTGGAATCTCCCTTGAAATACCTGGACACCCCCACCAAAAGCTTGCTGGACACCCCTGCCAAGCGGGCTCAGGCTGAGTTCCCGACTTGCGACTGTGTAGGTGAGTTGTGCGCCTTCTCCTTCCACGCTGGGTGAATTGGAGAAGGAGGTCTTCCCGGGAGGGGGCCATCAGGAGGGCCGTCAGGTCTTGTCTGCCCCAGCCAGCATAGCTCATGGTGGGAGATCATGGGAACTGGCGTGTAGCCATGTCTGAGTGTGTGTGTGTGTGTTTTTGATTTCTTGCTTTACCGTTCCCATAACTCAGCATTCTGGGAGTTCCACCCGACAGACACCTGACAATGTAGCTCACTTGGGAGAAAGAGCACAGCTGGAAGGCTCTGAGGCTGAGCTAGGCCTAGCAGAGGCTCAAGCTCCCTGTCTTCCTGCCCCAGTGCTAGCTGGGAGCTTTCCTTCTGAACAGGAAGCTAAGCGGAGCTAGGCCTAGCTCAGCCTCAGAGCATTCCAGCCGAGGCTTTTCTCTCAGGTGAGCCACACTGAAGTGTCTGTCAGGTGGAACTCCCAGAATGGAGAATGATGGGATCTGTGGTCCAAGAAATCCAAAAACCCCGTCCCAAGTCATGCCCCTGGAGTAGGGCTTACAGTAGCAGAGGGACATTGGCCTGTGTGTGCAGGCAGGTAGCTAGAGAAGGTGGGTCAGGTCTGCCGAGGCTGGCAGAGGGGCCTCCGTCTCAGCGGGCAGAACTCGCCTCTGCCCGGCTGGAGGCTTGGCCGCCTGGCCAGTGGTAGGGACCAGTGGTGTGTGCTCTCCTCGTTCCGAAAATCCTATCCAAAAAAAAGCTGAAGACCCATCTCTTTAGGCAGGTGTTGAACAATCACAACTGAATCCCTGAACCCTGTTTTAGCAGACATTTTAATCTTTTCCGTGTTGTAATGTTTTAATCTTCTAACTTAATTTTAAACATGTATTGTTTAATTTGTCTTTTAATATTTAACTTTCTGTGTTTTTAATTGTGTGATAATTTTAATTTTCTGAGATGCTTTGGGTCCCTTGTTGGGAGAAGCGCATCATATAACTAAAACTAATAATAATAATAACTGGGCCCCACTTTGGTGTTCCTTGAAAACCCAAATGAACACGAGGGCAGGAAACATCCTGACATCTAGACAAGTGTGTGCCCTTCCCAGTTCATTCTGCTGAGTCACCCGGTTACTCACAGGTTGTGTGTGTGTGTGTGTCTGTGTGTGTATGTGTCTGTGTGTGTCTGTGTGTGTGTGTGATGGTATTGCTTAAAGCACTGCATACAAAATGGCAACTATCTTGGAGACCTTTCTCACCTGCTTTCTGGTACAGGTTTTTACATCTGTGTAAGATGACAATATTTCTGTGCATTTTTCACATCTTAGAACTTTTTTGGGGGGGGGGTTGTTAATCATGAAAGTAACTCTTGGGCCATTTTTTTTTCTTAAAAGGTTTTTTTTTTTTTGGAAGAAAACACACCTTTGTTTTTTACCTCCAGGTGGCCCAGCTAGGCCTCGCTCTGCCTCAGAGCCTTCCTTCCCGTTGTGGCCTTTCGTCTCCCATTGACCGGTGTGTCAAGGTGTCTGTCGGACGGCACTCCCAGAATTCCAGTCTTGCCATCTTGGCTGGCTGCTGTTCTGGGAGAGGGATACTGGCCGTTTTTGTTTGCATCTTAAAGAGGGGCTGTGACTCAGCCCAGCCCCCCCTTCCATGGCAGTGCCAGACAAGACCTTTCTACAGAGGTTATTTTTATTGTTCAACTCAAGTGTAGCTACTCCGGGCAATGAACCAACTTCAGTTGCTCTCAGTGGGCTGAATATTTGCCCTCTCCCTTGGCAGAATCCAGCCCTTGCCAGCACAGCTTTTAAGGATGCTGGCAAAGAGGCAGCCGGCCAGATTGGCAGGTCGTGGCCAGGAGCGGGCCAACCCGGTCCTTTGTCTTCTTGCAGGTGACAGGTTTTTCACGTCCAGGCTTTCCAGGCTTTTGTCGGTGGTTCTGCAGAACTGCTTTCAACAGGCCCTTTCCCTCCTATTATGTTGCTGATTCATTGCCCCCCACCCCACCCCGTGGGCCGGTGGCAGCTCAGCTGAGGCCATCTGGCCAGCAGGCCATGCCAGTGCATGAACATTCCTCTCCCGCCCACCCCGGCCCTGGAACGGGCCAAGATTTGGGGCCAGTTTAGAGGATTGCTGTGCTGGTGGATTTCTTTTGTCCTTTAAATCTCCTGGCATGGGTGCCGAAGGTAGTCTGGCCAGCGCCCGCCTGTGTCGGTCCGCCGGGCTCCAGGGAAAGGGCCGGCTGCCTTTACACAAAGGGCAAATCCCGTGAGCGGTGGTCTTTCAAAGCAAAAGAGACCTGCTGCGAGGCGGGCCGGGCTGAGGGGGTGGGGCTTCCCCCCCCTTCCCCCTTCCCGGAACCTAGCTGGGAAGGACGGAGTGCTCCAGGATGAAATACGCCGTCCTGGAAATGCAACACCATGCGTGCACAGCCTCTTGCAAATCCCACATGGGTTGCCCCCTGATCCACGCAATGCATCTCGCGTCTTCGCGCTCTGTGCCCAGATACACTCCAGCTACTGCGTAAGGAAGTCAGCAGCACGTACAGGAGGATCGCCTGGAGAGGGTGGCCCCGGTGCTTCGGAGCCTGGGGTAGAGGCCATGTGTAACTCTGGGGCAGGATTGCACCTCCCTGCCTTTTTGTGCACCTTCCTCTTTTTTCCAGCCAAACCAGTGAGCTCCTCCTCCTCCTCCTCCTCCTCTTGGGAAGAGACAGCAGCATCACTCCACCCTTTAAATAGATCCCAGCCCAGACCCTGCACAGCTTTCTCCTTTATCCAGTTAAGCCAAAAGGTTCAAGAGGGCTGGGGAAACTCCTAGCTCCCTGAAGGACCATTGCACCAGTGGTCTCAAAGCCTCCGTTCCGTTTTCAGCGTTTCGTGTTTGGGAAAGGGGAAGTGATTTGATTTCCCGGGATGTCTCCTGTGCTGGGCTCAGATTGCGGAGCAGAGGTGCTTTGGAAACGGTGCCCTGAGCAGAGATAATGGGAAACTGCTAGCAGAGAGAGAGAGAGAGAGAGAGAGAGAGAGAGAGAGGCTGCAGAGGGCTAACATTTGCTGCTGTCTAGTCTTTTGCGGGGTTCATTAAAACTGGAGTTTGACATTCAAAATGGACACATTTTCTAGTTAGGGAGATGTGGGTGAAGGAGGAGGAGGATAACTCAGTTCAGCACTGGCTTTTGCTCCTGTATGCTGATTCTTCCCCCACCCCACCCCTGGGTAACTATATGCAGCTGTTTTAGTTCTTTCTGACAAATGGAACTGTAATGGTGGCTACCTGCTGGGAATAACAAATTACTTTTCAAAGTACTGTAATTTTCCAAGCTCCGATTAAAATTGAGCCATAGATGGGAACCTGGACTTTTTCAGGGACCCTAAGCAACCTTCTTTCTGGGGCTTGGAGGTTCTGAATGGTTGGCGTTTTCAGCAGAAACAGAAAACCATACTTTGTGGGGTTTGTTTTTAAAGACCTGGGAGAGCTGAGCTTGCCTGTAATGTTTGGAGTTACTGCTGTCTGTGGGTGATTCACGGGCCCCGCCGAGGCGTGCTCTCCCTGCCTGCGTGAGCCCCGCGGAAACGAATGGGAGCCACTGGCACCCATCCTGCTGCGGGTGGGTGTTTCCTCTAGGCTGTGGGCTGAAGATCATTTTTAGCCTTTCTGTTTTAAAAAAAACAGGCTGGTGCTTTTTATATCTCTGCACCGTGACTCCTTTCTTCTGTGGCTTTTTATTTTGGTTTTATTCCATCAGTTGTTTTAAAGATCAGATTATTTTTAATGCCTGTTTGCATTCTACTGTTTCTTAACTGTTGCTTCGTCTGCAGTCCAGAGAGCTTCGGTGTTTGGGGAGTGTAGAAAATCAAGCCAATGACTAAAGGTGAAGATGAGATGAGGCAGGAGGGGAGAGTCACACCTCTCTGGGATCAGAGGGTGCACAACCGGAACAGGGGATTGAAGGTGTTGATCTTAAGGGTCAGTTTCTAGGCTTGACCCTCCTCCCTTTGCCCCTTCAATGCCCCTTTGAATCCTGGACCTTAGGCAAACAAGACTTCTCCCCCCTTTTTTTTATTATTCATGGCCTGGAAAAGCTGCCTGTCTTCAGCAAGGGAATAAGGCGGATCTGAACCACCTTTTTGTTCTAAACCCTCCCCTAAGTATTTATATAGGATTGATTTGAATTGGTTGATGGATTGCACTGCCGTGCGACTTCTCCTAGCAACATGGATCACGTTCCCCACTGAGAACCTCTTTCCGTGTCTCTTCCCTTCAGCCGGTTTTGGTGGTGACTTTGCTTCCATTACTCTGAGATGAAGTCATTGTCTCATTTGGTTGCGTGTGTTTGTGTTTTCACAGAACAAATAGTCGAGAAGGATGAAGGGCCATATTATACCCACCTGGGCTCTGGACCCACTGTGGCATCCATCAGGGAACTCATGGAAGAACGGTGAGCGGCAGAACAGGGGCTCTTTGCAGGGAGAATAAAGGGGGAGGCAAATTCCCCATAGCGCCACTTGGAATGTCTCGGCAGCAAAGGAGTCTCCCCCCTGAAGCCTTACAGGGAATCTGCTTCTTGCGTGCAAGTCCGTGGTGCCCACCTCCACGGATAACGGCTGTTGTGGGAATCTTATTTTGCTTCTTCCATGCAAAAGTCCAACTGGGACGGCCCCTGGCACCTGCTGCTGCTTTTTAGAGGGATGCTCACCCTAACACACCCCTGCCAGGTGGGTGCAGGTCCCTGTGGTCCTTCCTGCTCGAGGTGTGTTAATTGAACGGCACCGCAGGGGATGGGAGTGCCGATGCCCGCCTCTCGCTTCAGCTGCTAGACGTGGTTGAAGCCAAGGAGTCAGTGCAGGCATTTGGTCATGTGACTCGGAAGCACCAATCAGGGTCTAGGTTGACCTCTTAACAGCTCATGATTCGCAAATGAAAGTTTTGTCAGTGGAGTTAATGCGCTGGCGCAGTGTTTCACTTGAATTGCAGGTGTCGATATGTTAATTTTGCAGGGGCGGGGTGGGCGGGGCGGAAATCCGTGGAAATACAACCTTCTCTTAATTCAGACATTTGGGCCTGGGAGGAGCAAAAAGGCCACCCTTGGTCCTACCTTGTCCCCTGCAACGTCCCCTTTGCTTTTCCTCTAGCAGTAAGTGTAGGTTAGTAAACTGCCAGGGTTGGCAAACCGGGACCAAGGTGTGCTTTGCAAACCAAGGTGAGACATCCATCTGGATTTTGGGGGGCGGGGGGGAGGTGTTCCCAGAGTGGAAGTGACATGGTCTGGATACTTGTGGTCCCAGCCCTGCTCCAGAGAACGGTCTTGACCTGTGCCCTTGTTTCAAAACTGGAAGGGGGGGGGCGCCTGGGTTGCTCCTCTCCTTGGAATGCAAAGGGGTGCCTGCCGTCTTTCTCAGCGGGTGTCCCAACGATGGCCTTTCCTGGCTTGTCCAGGAAGTCCTTAGAATGGCGGATGGGCTTGGCTCAATCCGTATCCTCTTCTTCGCCCGCTTGTTCCGTGGAGGAGCTTGGCTCAGGGAGCAGAGAAAGTGAGCATCGCACACGGTATGCAGGCAGGCGGCCGCATGTCCCGACTGATTGGGTTACACCTCTGCCGTTGACTCATAGACACCTGAATAGGTCGAGTCATCCTGACACGCCGTGCGGCTGAGTTACCTGTGCAGGCCTCGAGACCAGGCAGGGAGATGCCTAAGAGGCCGGGAAAAGGGAGGGAGGAACAGCCTCTGCTCTCCTGGTCTGTCTCGGGCTGGGCCAAGCCCCTTTGGGGAGGAGCAGGTCCTGCCCCAAGTTTTCAGCAGTGAGCCTAGGAAAGAAACAAGTCAGATCTGGCTCCCAGGGGCCAATGTTCTCGCGACAGGTTGCCCTTCTGTGCAAAAAAGAGGCAGATGGGAGCATGGCAACCCAGAAAGAGAGGGATGGGCTGGGGAAAACAGAGAAAGCAGGAGCTTTGTGGAAGGCAGACGGTCAAAGCCACTGTGGTCCAGGGGTGAGACTGCGGAGTAACCTCCTCGGGAGACCCTGGGTTCAAATCCCCATTCAGGCATGGAAGGCTGGGGAAAACACAGAAAGCAGGAGCTCTGTGGAAGGCAGACGGTCAGAGCCACTGTGGTCCAGGGGTGAGAGTGCGGAAGAACCTCCTCGGGAGACCCTGGGTTCAAATTCCCATTCAGGCATGGAGCCCTCTGACTGTCCTTGGGCCAGTCACGTTCTCCCAGTTCCATTGACCTCTCCCAGCAGGGCTGTAAGAAGGATTTGGTGGGGATGAGGAGAGCCGCGTCCCTGGCTGTGAGCTCGTCGAAGAAAAAGTGGGATAGGAAACCACCCCCAAGCACTTAGTAAAAGAGAAGCGAAGGCAGCCTGCAGAAGCCCAGCTGTTCGGCTGTTGGTGTCATCTTTCCTAGGGATGGGGCATTTTAACTGCGTTGTTCCCTAAAAGGAGCCTTCTGCATTGAGCGACCTCCTGTTTTTCTCCTCCTGCTAACGGTGGGATTTTTCCTACCCGCAGGTATGGTGAGAAGGGGAAAGCCATCCGGATTGAGAAGGTCATCTACACAGGAAAAGAGGGGAAAAGCTCTCGGGGCTGCCCCATCGCCAAGTGGGTGAGTGGCCACCTGCTCTGCAGGAGAGGACCGTTCTCTGATTCCTTGTGTGTGGTGCCAGGATCCCCCTTCTGACAGCCCTTTCCATAGGTGGCCGTTCCCCACCACTCTGCAGCGTTCCCGGGTTCCTCCACCCCCAAACGATGAGAGGGTGGGGGGAGGTGTCTCTCCATCTCCACCAGTCATCAAGGGAAAAAGAGGGAACCTCCATGGTGAGGTGCAGTCCAGCTGCAATCCCTGCTTGCCCCAAGAGCTTCAGAGGCAGAAAGGGGTGGTGCCCTTCGTGTGGGTTTCTCAAGGGTGCCTGGTGGTAGGAATCAGGATACCCGTCAAAGGATGGGCCAGCAGGGCTTGTGGGTGCCTTAGCAGCTGTGCGGAGACGCGTCGGCCCATTTGTCTGGCGGTGTGATTAGTGGCCTTCAGGGGTGGAGCTGTGCCATGCCAAGGCAGGCCTCGGCGCCTGGCGTGGCTCCTCTCCTCCTCCTCTGATGGCCGGCCGGCCTTCGCTACGTGGCTTGGCCCGTGGATGGGGAGC